CAGTCTTGAGGGGGGAAGCTCACTGGGTTTCCGTTCTTGGACTAGGGGGCTGGAGGCTGGGGGAAATAGAAAATCTGTGGTTCCAGTCCCTGGGCCTCTCCACTAAGCAGCTGAGGGTGTGAGAGCCCACATAACAGGAGGGTATGGGAGAGGCCACTGCATCCTGGGGTATTGGAAAACTTCAGTTTGAGGGGCACATCTGTGGGGAGTGGCCACACATTAATGGAACAGGAGCTGGGTTGTGCGGCTCAGAGATAATCCTACCCTGGAGTGCCATAACTTTGAGCCTCATAATGAGTGCTTTAAGCCACTTAATGGTGTTAACATGGAGACAGTCCAGGGCTTAAGAGTTCCAGGAGCCATCCAAAATTAACATGCAACAGTGCCCTAGTACAGCTAACCACCTCTCTTCTCATCACTACAGATACCTCTGTTATGACAGAATCTTCTTTTGTTTTGGTATCATCTGTTCCCATGGCTCATCTTCATCTGTTTTCTGACAAAATGATAACAAATGATCACAAATAATATTATGGTAAAAAAATTAGGAATGGATAAGCAGCAGGAGTGAAAGTCACAAGAGTTATGGTTTTATATAAAATATGCCCAGTCATAATTATTGAGCAAAGAGAAGCTGTGAAAATACTAATTCTAATAGGAATATTTTATACATGCTTTCCACGCAACATTGAGATCTAAGAGCAAAGATTTTTCAAAGTGAACGGTGATTTTTGGATACTTCAATTTTTATAGGGGTCCAACCTGGCACATCTTTAAAGAGCCTGTTTTTCAAAAAGGGCTTGGGCATCTGTGGCAGGGTCCCACTGCAGGGGTGGCTGTGAAGCCCCTGAAGTCCCTGCAGCCCTCACTTTGTGGACAATCATCCCTTCATCACCCGCCATGCCTTGATTTTACTTTTTATGAGGAAGGCTGGCCCAGGGCTTCCCAAATTGCTCTCAGAATGACCACCAGGTACCCATGGGAGTTTCGTCCCAGAATGCAAGCCTTCATCCCCCAAATGCCTTATGGACTCATTGCACGGCTCCGTTCCTCCTCTCCACCATGCCCCATGCCTCACAGATGGCATCCTCATTGATGTTTTCTTGTACTTAGCCCCTCCTCTCGGGCTCTGGACCCCTCCTTGGGTCCCTAGGACCCTCCTTGTCCCCTTAGTTCCTACCCATACTTCCAGACTGCTTCTTGATGTACTCTTCAAGCTGACCTTCTGGAGCTGCAGCCATCCTGCCTAGGTGGTGTTCTCTCGGCAGGGCCTAAGATATTACTGCCGGCTTCTCTCAGGCCCTGAGCTTATACCTGTTTTAAGCCCAGCCCCCTCCTGAATTAGATGACTCCCAGGAGGGAACTCCCTCTTTCAGGCTTAGCCTCACCTGCCAGGTCCCTGAGTCAGCTGATACCCAGTTAGCTCTGGCCCACACTTGCCAGTAGCTTCCCAGGCTGCCTGGCCTTTTAAAGGGGCAGGCATCTCAAGTGCCCTGCCACAGCACCCATCTAGTGATAATAAGGGCCCGTTTGTACTCATGTTCAGTACTTAAGATCTGCAGTCACTTTTGCAAACCTCAGCCAAGTCCTCAATCTATGTGTACAGTATTTTTTATTAAATTTAAACTTGTTATTTGCTTAAAAAATCAGGTAAATTTTGCCTCCTTTTGATTCAAGACAGAATCTCTTCTAGCTTAGAGAGAAAAAAGCTGTTGCTACAACTGATTCAGGTGCCTGTTGTGCTGGTAGTTTGAAGGCTACATTTCCAATGCTACCCACACATTTTCATATGAACACTAGCTCTTCTAGTCTTCTCAATTCCTCTTCCTGAATTGCTTCACTGTGTTCCAGTTAGGTGTTACTATGTCCAGGAACCACAGGACTTACACTAAGCACTGTATTGCTGTTTCTCTTAACTCATTCATTTTGTTTTCTGAACATTTCCAGCAATAATTCTGCTTTCTATTAATACTCTTGTCTTTTCTATGGTTCTAGGCAGGCCTGAGAGCAGCTTAGAAATTGCTCTGTTTGTATCAACCCTGCCCAGAACTTTTCAGTGCTTCTCCAGTAAGAAATGCCAAGCAAGACTCTCAGAAACATTCTATAAATGTTTCTTGCCTTCATTACAATATTTTATTGCTTATGAAGGGTTTGTTTGCTTTTCATCTGCTCCTGAAAATGGAAAATAGAATTAGTTTAGGAAATGCATATTGCACACCTGTTAGTTAATTGCATGGCATTTAATAATAGCATTCCACCAATACCTTCTTGAGGACTGACTGGTGCTTGCATCATTCTGAGAGGTTTCTGATTTGTATTTCCTGGGCTCCAGGCAAACAGAAGGGAAATGTAATGAAAAAACAATTGAAATTACAGAAATACATTTACTTTACAAGGCTACCCATAAACCCAAATAAACTGGGATTTTTCAATTAACTTGCAGCACTTCTGCCTTTAGTAGCATCTCCCAAATGCTCTCATTGGACATACCGTCAGGTGACCACTACCAAAAATCTACCTGTAGCAATAGGCTGAGCACAGAAGATAATCTGCCTGAGTCAAAGGGATTCCCCAAAAGGAATATTTTTCCTCAAAATCCTAATCCAGATCAGTACCATCTCGAGTTTAGGAGACAACAAAAAAGAGGGAGAAAAGATCAGTTACAAAATAGAGCAATAGGCTTCAATCTGGAGCCTGGGGGAGGCCGTAAGATAGAATTTGAACTCACAGTAAGTAAATATGTGACAACATAAAAATAAAGATTAAAACCCAGTTTTATCACTTTCTAGAGCAACGCCACTTCCCATAAGCACTATTCTGGGACTCAAACTACAGAGTCTGTGTAGCAGTGAGTACAAAGAAACATTTTGCTGAGCTTTGCCAAAGTATTATCCACACACAGTTGTGTGAGGGTATAGCCCCCACACTTTATAAATACAATTGGGGATACACTGGCAGGGGAGAACAAACCACTGGGTGTATGCTAGAAACAAGTTACAGAATTCTGTCAACAGGTGCAAATCATGTACTGCCAAGTAGGCACCTGCTGCCATGCTGTGCCTGTCGCCTAGGTTCAAAAAATATTGGATGAATGCCAAACTGTTGGGGCACAGCGGTAGTTGGGGCAAATTCTGTATGTCGCAGAGAAAATCTGCCTAGCTACACCAATTGCCCATTTGCCTGAAATTGTATAGATGGACCAAAAAATGACAGGCAAAAAAAGCCTCCAGTTAGCATTGAATAGTGTAGCACTACTGTATAAAAGCTTGTCTTTTTTATATTATACATTTGACACTTTTTTTATGTTGTTTGACATTTGAAATAAAGAAATTGTCTTTCTTTTATAATGTGGAAATCACTTGGATCTTCCTGGGAGAGACACCTCAGCATTGTTCTTAATTGTTTTTGTGCTCCCAAATTAAAATGCACGTTTTAATTGCTGCATCTGTAATTTTAGCAGAAATGGTATAATTACAGGAGAGATATAGAGAGAATGTGCATCATCCCTTTATTACGTATCTACATTTTGTTTCAACCTTTTGTCTCAACCTTGTCTGGGGTTTGTCAAACAGACTAACGGAGTCGCTGCTCTTCAAGAAATACATTTAACTGTGGCTTTTTTGGTTTTCAATAATTATCCTACTTACTTTATAGCTTCCTTTCTTCTTACAAAAAGTAGAAAATGTGGAAAAGTTATGACTGCTTTGTATGATGAGTGAATTTAGTTTTCACAAAGGGTGCTAGCTTGACAGCTTTGAAGAGTAAAGTTCTTTAGATATGCACAGAATCAGAACAGCAGAGACATTAGTGATGTGAGATTTTTCTGCTGCATTGCCAATGTGCTGAACTTTGACCTGGAGGGATCAACACAAAGGTTCAATGTTTATTCAATCCTTGGCCTTTTCCATGATGACTAACCAGGGTGCCAGTTACAGACATGTGGTGGAACTGAATTACATCTTTAAACTTATTTCTTGTGGGCCACATAATTGCTTGTTCAGGTATTAAAGAATTAGCGTTAGTACCTGGGACCTACACATGAAAGGTGCACCAATGCTTGATAGTTCCATCCTCCTGAATTAGGATTGTTTTACGCATGATTTTTCTCTTTACCATTTAATGCCTATTAATATTTTATACAACATCACATAGTGATAGCATGCAAAGGGCCCAAGGCTGGGGCCCTATTCTGTTGGTGGTTACCAGTTTCCAGGCTCACATCTTTAAAGAAAATATAAAAATATGCAGTTACATTTATGTCTTTAGAAATTATATTTTCTCTGAGTTGAACACCTGATAATTATGTAGGCAGAAATCCAGTCTCTGTGCTGTTCACAGCCATGTTTTTGCAGTTTCACCAGAAGAAACTGTTAATATTTTTACTTAGTCAAGTATGAAAACAAAACCTTAATTTGTTGTCTTTGTCCTCAGAAAAGGCTGTCTTTCAAGCAGATCATTTCAATTCTGGAATCCATGTCAAATGACAGAAACCTTCCAGACCAATGTAACTCATTCCTGCATAACAAGGCTGAATGGAGGTATGTTTTAATGTTTCGGAAAGGACATGCTATACTGTTCATTTGAAATATGATGTAAGCAAGTTAAAACTCTTTACAGAAGATTAAATGCTAAAACTGTGTGGCTGATATCTGGGTTACCAAACAGAAATCAGGCTCAAAATGTCAAGATGGTACCCTCCTTCTGAGTATAAATTATTGGTCTTCAAATACTTTTAGAACATATTTCACCTTGCTATTTTTTTTCAAGAATGCCTAGAATGTTGTGGAATATTATGAACCAATAGAATCAAACTATTCTACTTGTTTGGTAGCAAAAATGCTTATGGCTTTTGTCATTCATATCCTAAAATAAGAGTATGTGCTTTTTGTTTCTAATGTGAAGATGGTTCATCTCCATCTTATTAAAAAGCTCTCTGTGTTCATGTGTGTGCAAGATAGGTTTTACTGAAGGAGAGGGCACAAAAGAGCATTCTTTTGAAACAATTCTCTATTTGTTTCTGTAACTTTGTGCACGCAGCAATTTAAGTGTGCATTTTGCATCTTTGTTGTGTGTCCATATGATCAAATGTACTAACCTAACCTCATTACTTACAGCAGTGTACACACATTGCAAGTAATTCTATCAACTTATGATTGCATGCTTACAAAATGGAGACCAAGTTAAGAGTCTTAGAAATTGTTTCTCAGTTTTATTATTAAAGTTTCAGTTTATTTTATGTGTTTATAAAGAAATAGCATAAATGTTCCAAAAGCCTATTTCTCTGTAGAAAGGCTTGATGCTTCATAATATTACTTAGTATTTGGAAAAGAATATTGAAAACAGATCTGGGCTGGCAGAAAGGATTGTTACCAGATGATTCTGCTGCTGTCTATATTAAGAAATGTTGGCTACAGTCCAGGTAAGCTGGAAGCACACACACCAAAGTATTCTGTGCCTGCATATCTTGATACAAGCAAAAAAAAAACATTCAAGAAAACTTAAATGGGGGAGAGGGGGCACAGGAACATTGAAATGAGCTTTAAGCAAAACCAAAATCTCAAAGATTTTTTTAGTGAATTATAAAAGAGAATCGATCACTAGGAAATCTTATTGCACAAGTGGAAAAAGTGACCACAAGATGGGACGTTTGAGCCAGGTCACATGATGACAGTATAAATAACGTGTTTTAGAGCTGACATTATTCCTCCACTGACTCAGCAGAGAATCTGATAACTGCAGCACAGCTCTCAATACAGCACACTAATGCTTTGCGCCATCTGCTGATATAAAATGCAAACTACAGATATAGATATACTTTGGCTTATTAATAGGTTAAAATTTATTTCTGTACAAGGTTCCTTGTTATCAGCTCTCAAACTCTAATATCTCTATATTAGTTATATATAGATATATCTATATATGAGTTGCTATTGAGGTACCTTGTACAGAAATAAATTTTAACCTACTGATGAGCCGAATCCATAATATATTGTTTGATTATTGAATGTTAATCTAGATTGTTGAAGGAATCTGTTGCGCTTACAGTTAATTTTTCCCTTTGTGTTTGAAGTACATTCAACTATATTCTATTTTTTTTCTAATTTTTTTTTTTAGAAGAATCCAAGATACCTGTTTATTCCTCATATCCCTTCCTCTTCCCCTGCTGGGAAGAGTTAGGAGTAAATTTTGTTTGTTACAGTATCCAAAATAGGGATCTACTAAATTATTTTGGGATAAGTATATGTTTTCAGGACACCATGATTCTTGCAGATTTATGGGCTGGTATTTTATCTGTTGTGTATTTTTTAAAACAGAGTTATGCAAATAATGTTGGAAGAATAAATCCCACCTGTAGTGGGAATTTATTGTGTGACCATGGCATGCCTGAATTTTTATTTTCTTTTATTTTACCACTTTGGAAAAATCAGTCTGACTTCTATATTGGTATTTGTTCCCTTTTTATCATTTTGATTTATCTTGTTTGCATTACTGAATATGAAGATCCATATAAGAAGGTAGAAGGATCAAATTTGTTACAGTGGATCTGCTATCAGTCCAGAAGCGGATAGGTACTCAGATTCTTGCAAGAGTGAAACAAATATTTACTTTCACCTGGTCCATTTAGCAGAACAGACATGTGTTTAATTGACATTCAGTACAATTAAACTTTTTTTTAGGACATTTATTCTCTTTCCAGAAATTTTCTTCAAGCAGCTATTTTATGAATATTTAATATTGTTGTGAAGAAACTTGCATCTTGAGGAACAGTGAATATATTTTTAAACAAAAGGCACTAAAGTAAAAAGTGTTGCTGCTTTTATTAAGCCATGAAAGGGGATTAAAACAAAGGTAGTGGGTGGTGGTAAAAATGAATTTAATAATTTTTCAGCAGAGTTTTTAAAAAGGAAAATAAACCTTTTTATGATTTGAGAATGACTTGCCTATAATTTGGATTAAGTAGAGTTGTAGAAATAGGTCCAAGATAGGGAACATGGTTGATACCATTTCATAAGATAAGGGGGAAATGAATTGTCCTACCCCTTATGTGACAACATGGACTCTGATGCATGCCTGTGCATAGGAGGATGCTTGTATGGTGACTTTCTGGAAAATGATGCCAGATTAACTAAAGGTGTGAATTTAATATCTGCTACCACATGAAAGTTCAGTGTGCTTCAACAAAATGCAGTTAAAACTCACCCTTTCCACTAGTTCAGCTTAATTTTCATGTGTTCTCACATAAATATGCCCCGAAAAACTTCCAGGTAGAAGGTTAAACCAGCTGCAGCTGATAGGGAGGGCTGTCAAAACTTAGAGAGCATGGTTGACAATTGGCTACAGGATTCATAGGAAAGTTTGGCAACAGAAGGAGAAGTGAGGGATGTCTCTTTCTCCTTGAAACCCTAGAGCAGAGGTGGGCAATTATTTTGGCTGGAGGGCTACTTAACGAATTTTGGTAAGCTGTCGAGGGCTACATAGGTAGCCTCACCCCTTGACAGTTGCCCCCTCCCCAGTCACCATCTTGTGGCCGGAAGTCCCACTCCGTAACCCCTACCCTTTGCCCCTGGAAGTCCCTCCCTTTGCCCCTGGAAGTACTCCTTTTGGGAGGGGATAGTATGGCCTTGGAACTGAAAGTTACACTCTGTCACATGGTCTGTGTTGGGGTAGGCAAAGGTTTTTTTGGCCAGAGTACCGAAAAAACCGTGTCTACCTTGTAAGGCGCTGGAGTGCCAGCATGCCAAAAAAACAAAACTAAAGCGGGGGTATATGGCAGGATGCACTGCATATTAATATAATTAATAATCATAAACTTAAACCTGTAACAGAACAGACATTCAGTGTACATAAACCAGTTTCAAAATGGCCAAAGCCAGCTTGAGATAAACTTGATTGAATGCAGTATCAAATTTAACTGATTTGGCTCAAACTGGTTTATGCAATGTCTGTCCCAGCCCTCTTCCTGGTTTAAGTTAAACCAGAGTCCCCAGCATCCCGGCATGCTCTCTGGGCTGGGTGGGGCTGTCTGCTCCATCCGCAGGACTGACCCTGCCCCTCTGCTCTCTAGCCCAAGCAGGGATCATTTCCTAGCAGAGACAATGAAGAGACATGTCTCTTCCGTTAAGGCGAAGTAGGCAGGGAGGAAGTTAATTCTTCCCTTCTGCTCTTCCCCCACAACAGCCGGGGTCAGTCTGTTTGCTGGGAAGCAGAAGGGAGGGTGCTGCAGCGGTGGCCTCTGGAGCTGGTAAACCCCGGCTGCAGGGAAGGGATGGAGGGAAAAATTAACTCTTCTCCCTGCCCCCTTCACCTTAACGGGGCCATGCTGAGTTGGTGTTCCTGCAGGGTGCGGAGAGGGGCTCTGTTCTGTGCTGGGTGGGACTGTTCCCCCTCCTCCTCCTCCCAGTGTGGAGAGGGAGACTGTGAGGCGCTGGATGGGCATTCTGCACCGCACGCCTGTAGCTCCACACTTGCAAAGGGGAAGCCCTGTGCTGGACTCTGCACAAAAGCAGGGGGCAGGACTCGCTCCATTCCTGGCAGAGTGCGGGGACCTGTGCAGCAGGGAATGGGGGAAGCATGAACACCCTGAACTCCCCACCTGCTGCTGCTGCTAGTCAGCGGGGGCTGCATGCCATGGGGGGAGCTTGTGGGGGGTCCCTACCCCCCCACCCTGCCCAGCTGAGCTCTGTGCTCCCACTGCCCCTCTTGGGGGAGGAGGAGGAGGGAGAAGAGTTCCCCCCAGCATGGAACAGAGCCTCCGCTTGCCCTGGGGGGCGGGGAGAAGTGGTGGGAAGAGTCCCCATCTGGGGCTGGGCAGCATCCCATAGGACCCTCCCTCCCTACCCTGCAATGATGGGGGAGAATCAGGGGGAAAAGCTCTTCCTCTGGGTCCAGACAGCCTCAAACAGCCCACTCTCAATACCATGGCAGCGGGGGAGGGGAGGCTTCCCTGTGGAATGGAGGGCTGCTATAGCGCCCCCGGGCTTCTGGCTAGAGCCACTGCAGGCATGTGCCTGCATTTCCTGAATAAAAAGGGAAACTGATTCACTCTCTGCAAGTTAAACTAACATGCAGAGATTGAATCAATTTAGACTTGGGCTTTTTGAAATACTATGTATGCAAGTTAAAACGTCTTTCCCTGGCTCAAGTTGAACATCTTTCCCTAGCTCAAAGGAGCAGGGCACCCTTTTTAGTTTTGTACAGTGTTCTGCCATATCAAAAGGTGTCTGTGCTGTAACATGGAGTATATACACACTTCTTCATTAGGACTTAGCAGGGCTCTGACTGGTATGGGAGAAAGGGAAAGAGTTAATTTTGTACAGAGCTGACAAAGATACATTTTTGTTCCCCTTTAATATGTCCCTTTTATTATTATCTAAAGATAATCCATGTCTCATTATGCTAAGAATTGTCACAATCTCATATTGTCTTGAAGAACATTTGTTTCTTATCAAGTATCCCTGGACTAGCAGCATATACTTATCATTAGGAGATTATTTGACTTTCCCCAAAATGAAGTTTTTTCTCAAGTTTCTTTTATTATGGTAGGGAAAGTTTTTACTATCAGTGCACTGATAGCTAACATTGTACATAATTAAACTGAAAAAAATGGTACATTTCTTCATGTATACTATTTAACCGTTCTTCCCTTTTTTTAGCCGCTATTCTGGTACTGTTGTAATGTTACCTATTATGAAACATCAGTGACAATACAAAAGTAAAAAAACCAAATACCAGTCATAGTTGTTGCTTGTATCATTTATAAATAAGATAGTATATGTTATTTGAGATTGTATAATGAGATGGTTCAAGAAAATCAAGAAAGCAAGATCAAACTGCAGAACTACAGGAACAAGTACACATGTCCTATAATGTATGTTTCAAACTGCTATATTTATGAACTAAGACTCATTAACTGGGCAATGTATGGTAGCTTTCTTTTTAATTACACTGTTTTATTATACAGTGGAATTATTTTTCAGAATGCAGCTGTTTTTACAGACTGACCTTTTATTATAAGAGAAGATTCTGTCTAATGAAGAGAGATAATTACAGTACACAGTAGGCTTTTGACATATGGAAAGCTATTGTTACTGGGACTTTCCTGTTGTAGAATTTTATTTAAGAGAAAACCATAATTTACATATTTTAAAATGTGTAAAGCTACAGATAAGTAGTAATAAAGTTGAGACATAAACTAACAAAAGCAGTGCTAACAAGTGTCCTCAAATTATCCTATGGTGAACAGAGCAGATAAAACAGTATACATGACATAATATGTGAGACTAATAATGTCATTTATACATTTTTTAAAAATTTCCTGTCACTTCCTGACCTCCTATATTCCTCTAAAGAGGTTGTAAGACTTAGTAAATAAACCAACCCTTACAGCTTTACAGAACTAGCCATAAAGATTTGCAAGATTTACAAGATCTGAGATCGTCCTACAATTCAGGAGACCAATAACTTTGGTTTTTCTAAGCCTTCCAAGGCCAACAGTGAATGACTGGGAAAGGATTATAATTTATAAATAAGCAATGATACTTCCATTTGTCAAATAATTTCCCATCTTCCTACAAAAGTAGAAAATGCAGAGAAGTTATGACTGCATTTTCTGAGTCTTGCTAACATTTTTGAACTTGTAAGTGTGCATTATTTAAAAACTGAAGGAGTGCCCCATGGCTACAAATTGGATTTAAAAATCAAAGCTGGCTTAAAATAGGGTATCCAAACCAGTCTTTGTATCCAGTATACCAACAGGGAAAGTTCAGATGTGAAATAAACCTTTCTCCTGAAAATTAGTCATTGAAAATTGGGATGTGTAGACTGATTTCTGAACAGTTTGGTTAAAAGTACATGTATTAGTAGGTGTCAACACTTCACATAGGCCTCCTGTAATTTCCAGTTGTGTAGTTACGCTATATCACCATGCTTGCTGAATCAGTTTTGTAGCATATGTGAACATGTGCCATCATGAACAGAACAAAATGGTTTGTTGCATTTCATCACTTATATTAAATTATTTGTTTTCAAAGAAAGATCTTTTTTCCTTTATTCTGCCTTCCCAAAGAAAAGTGCATTTCTTATTTGGGACCCTGTGGTTTGTGAATAAATGTACTATTAGATAGCAGGTTAAACCAGAAGGAAATTCTTTTTCACCCAGCATGCAATTAACTTGTGGGACTCATTAGCACAAGATGTTGTAGAAGCTGAAAGCTGAATCTGTTTCAAAAGAGGATTAGATAAATTCATGTAGGATAGGTCCATCATTGGGTATTAAACATGATAGTGTGGGCTGCAACCTACAGATTTCCTAATTTCCTAGTTCTCTAAATGCTGAAAGCTGAAAAGGAACAGGGTCAGGGAGAAGATCAGTCTTGGTATGCCCTGCATAAATTCTTTCCCTCTAGCATCTATCCTTTGCCACTGGGAGATAAAGGATACTGGGCTAGATGGACCTGTGGTCTAACCCAGTAGGATATCTCTTATGTTCTTAATCCAAAGTATGCAGCCCAGACCATATCTTATTTTAAATAGGGTGGAATTAAATCATTGTTACATAATAACCTTGAGAAATGGTAGTAAGGAAGGTGGAAAGAAAATGCTGTGGTACTAAAGCAGTGTATGACAACCATGAGCCCAAATAATGTTTATAGCCAAGGTATAGACTTAAAGCAAATGGGGTTATTAACCCCACATAGAAATTCTTTTGGTTGCCCCATTATAATTTCTTAACCCAATTTCCTTCAGCGATGGCATCATATTTCATTATGTTCAAAGGAAAAGGGATTTTACTCTCTTTATTTTTTTATTTAGTAAGGCATCCTGGTTTATTTTTAAATGTAAACATTACCTGTTATTCTTAAGGCTCTGAAAGATTTTTTATTTTGGTAATTAAATGTATTGCTTGAGTTAGTATTGTACTTTTCAGCCTTTCACATTTAATTAATGTTCATGTGGAAATTATGAACAATTTGTATCTGTCAGGAAAGGACGAGACTTAACAAATTGTTTCTGTGCAGATGTGAAATTGAGGCAACTTTAGAGAGACTAAAGAAACTGGAGCGTGATCTGAGCTTTAAAGAGCAGGAGCTAAAGGAACGGGAGAAACGTTTAAGGATGTGGGAGCAGAAGTTAACAGAACAGTCCAATACTCCTGTAAGTATGAAGTAATTCACCTTTTCCTCTGATTCCAAAAACAAGCTTTGTGTGTCATCTGAATGACTCTAGGGATAGGGATGTTCTGTGGAAAGATTACCACCACATCCTCCATTTGTTTCTATAGTCCTATTGTATTAAGCACAAACGGTAGTCTTTTGCCCAATGCATTGCACATAATTTATTGTGCTATCAATGTTTTTTTAGTTCTTCCAGTTTATTTAATGATAGTTTTCAGCTTAAATATTTGTGGCTTAGATACAAGAACGATACTATTTGAGCTATGTTCAATATTACACTTGATGACAATATGATACATTTGTATTGTTAACCTCAGTTACTAGAATTTATAAGATTTTTGATTTTTATATTCAAACCAACCTATTCAATAAAGTCATGATTCAAGGGCTTCAACTGAATGAATGTGGAGTTGAGCCCCCAAAGTAATAATTTATGTTTATTGGAGAAAAGGCTTTAGAACGCTCACTAATTCATTTTTTAGGAGCATTTTTATGGACTAGAAGGCCAGAAATACTAGATGATTTTAGATTTCATTTTATGAGTCTTGCTAACATATTTGTACTTGTAAATGTGAATTATTTCAAAACTGAAGGTGTGTCCAATGTTTTATGAATAAATAAAAAGGTGAGCATTTTCACTATTATCCCATATTCTTTATAGAGGCTAAGACTCTTTAATTTCTGTTGGAGTGCTGTCAGAGAGGGCACTACAATATGGCCTGAGTATGCATGTTAGAACAGAAAAATATGTTTCTACTTGTATTTACAGTATTAGGTAAAACGGACAGAATCATAGAAAATTAGGGTTGGAAAGGACCTCAGGAGGGCATCTGGTCCAACCCCCTGCTCAAAGCAGGACTATACCAGGTTGAGATTGCAGGACTTTGATTCCCTTATGCCCAATTTAATCTTTTTTTTTTGCACAGAAATATTCTAGACAACCCAGCTTGCTTACAACTTAGTTTTGAGGCACAGCTTATTAACATAGTATGAAAGAAGTTGCATACATTTTCCGGCTATGAATGTGTAGTAATGTAATGAAGAATGAATGTTTTCCTATACCCAGATACAGTATGTCCTATACCCAGTATCTGCATGCTTGCTTTAACACTAGCAAACTTCCAGCAACTGAGCTGTGGGCTGTCATCTACACAGACACTGTATGTCCTATACCCAGTATCTACATGCTTGCTTTAACACCAGCAAACTTTCAGCAAGTGAGCTGTGGGCTGTCATCTACACAGAGCAAAGCATGAGACACAGCCTTAATGAGAGAAACTCTTCATGAGCAACATGCTTAGGTTCTTTTATTATTAATTTTTAACTGCTGCAGTTACTCATCACTTCCGTTTTCACTTGTGGCTAGTGTTCTGAAAGAATGAAGGATTGTGCTAAGGTATATTCTACTTGGTATGGACTTTATTTCTGCATAACATTAATCTGACTCTCCTAGTGCATTTTAAATGCAGCTTCTTTTTGTAAGAGGAGTTTGAGAACAATGTGAAATGTATGGGCTTATATTTCAGACACCTTTAATGATTTTTTGTATTGCTGTACTGGAGAAGCTAAAAAAAACTGTTTTCAAATTTTTGCATAGGCATAAATACTTGTCCTGATCTATTAGGTGTGTTTACTTAATGGCAAGTTACCTTCTCCTCAGTGCTAATTTATATACTTTTACTAAAAGCACATCCTGCTGATGTACATTAGGAGACATAAAAGAAAATGAATATGATTAAAATGGTGTTCAAAAGGGAGAACCTAAAACAAATGGAAAGAGAAAGAATCGACCTGTATCACTACAAAAGGTGCCCTGCTTTTCAGAGCTGTTGGGATCTGCATCGTGACAGTTCCACGTGGCAGAGACTTCAAGACTTAGGGTGAGAGGAGTCCAGGATATATACTGAGTTGGATATTCTGACCTCACAGGTCTCTGAGGTCCATTAGTTTTGAAGTGTGTGATCTTACACCCATCTGGAAGGCCACAAACCACTGAATGCAATGACTCCTTGACATGGCCACAGGATTCTTCTTCTCCTCTATCCAACAGAGTGTTTCAGATGTTTTCGGTGTGTAAAATGAAAATTTGTGTAAAATGTGTGCTCAACTCATGGGAGAGATCTGGTCTTTGAGACAGGATCTGGTTTGCAGGGCTCCCTGTGGGCCCCAGAATTTGGCAGCAGCGGAGCAGGGGCAGCTAACTGTTACTACCCTATTGTCCAATTTCCAAAGCCGGGGGAGCCCTGCGGAGGAACCCTCCGTGCTAGATTGAGTAAACAGGCCCAACTTGGGCAGCATAAGGCTGGGCAGGGCCAATTGGGGCAGCAGGGAGCAGGTGGCAGGGAGGGCTAAAAATAGACAGCCAGCTTGGTGTGAGACATATTGGCTCAGTCTGTAACCAAACAGGTGCAGTCCAGGCTTAAATGGCCATTAGATCAAATTAGCCATGGTTCTGAAGCAAATGTTAATTTGAATAACTCGCAGGTACTTAATGCAGGACATTGAGCTTGGTGTCTGTAAGGTCTGGATTTGGTGTGGCCCAAATCAAATTGGTTGCAATTGGCCCCTGCATGGCCAAAAGACTGAGCACCACCTATATAAAATCTATTAATTAAGTTTGCTTGAAGGCAGAAAACCCCAAACTCAACTTCAGTTTGATATCTTTATCTGCATAGCCCTAATCTACTCTAGGTGAAGCACGATTATGCGTTTGAGACTAAGAACATGTTATAAGGTACAGCAACGAATGCAAAGAAACTGTTCCAGGGGGTCAAGGACAGTTTTAGGCATAGACTGGATAAACTGTCACATTTTAGGCAGCCTCTCCTGAGCACTCTTCTGACAGATTAATGCCCCCCTGACCCTGCTTCTGCTCTGTTTTATGCAGCAGGTACCTTTGAATCTAATATTCCACAGAGTCCTTTGTGCTGGCAACCACAATGTCTCTTGTAAAGCACTGCAGCACAAAGGAATCTCGGCCCTGTTTGGAGAATACAATATTCCTGCTGCACAAATCCGTTCAGAAACAGGGACATCCTTTTCAAGGAGAAAAGGAAACTGTGAAGGAAATGGGTGGGTTGCTGAGCTGGTTTTGGTAGCGGGAGGAATCTTGGAGCAGTTGATGAGGGGTAGAACCAAACACTATGTTTGTCCAGAGTGTGATTCACTTACCAGTGCACCTGGCTTTTAAAAATATTATCATTAGTTTATATAATGGAAATAAGTGAAAGCCCTAGCTGTAGATCAGACCTTTTTGTGCTAGGCACTGTACATGCACAAGTTAAAGATGGGCTCTGCCCCAGAGAGCTCTTTATCTTTGTATATGACAAAAGATAGCTGTGGATACAATAAATAATGGAGGAATGCAAGGTAACAGTGAGATGATTATGATTAGCATAATGAGCCACAGCTACAGTACATCAGCTGCCCATCCATTGTCAAGTGTTACTTAAGTATCGCCACAGAAATTAGAGAGAGGCATGTAAAGGAAGGGAGTGTAGTAGCTCTTGTAAATTTGAATTCTTCCCATGAATAAAGAATGTGAATAAAATCCTAATATTGCTGTCAAGATGTATATTGCTGTACACCATGTAAGACCCAGGGGTATAACTTTTAATACATGCTGGGCAGTTATAGTATATGCAGTAGGTTTGATCTTTCACGGATAAATAGAAGCCATTGGTTCTCTTGTGTTGAGTAAGGATTAAATGTTAGAAGATGAGTCATGTGATCTTTTTTTTCAACAATATATTCTAAAACATAGAACTGAAGTATAAATAGGAAGCATCCTGTCATTCATAGACAGAAAGCATAATATAAGATGTATTAAGAATTGGCTTCATTATCCTTCCACCTCCCTAACTTTTCATTTTTTAAGTCTTTATTATGGCATTAATTTTAATTAAGGTACAGGAAAATGTATTTATGTGTGGGGGAAATCTGAACTAAGAAGACAAGCATATATTCTTTTAAAATGAAGATTCACCAATGACCTGGCACTGATGAGAAACTATGATCTTTTGCTCCATTTTTCTCTTTCTTCTGAAGAATCTGACAAACTAGCATGCATGTGATTACAATAATTTCCCTAGTAGCAAACAGATTGAGTAGAAATGATCAGATTAAGAAAGGTGTGGACAACTATGAATTTCAGGCAGAAAACAGCTTTAAAGGCCATTTCAGCAGTCCAGGAGCAGAAGCTGCTCCTTTAGTAGGTGGCTTAATTTGGGACTACATGCCAGAACTCTGACTCCCTGTGGACAGCAAGTATGTCAGAGGTTACTATTGCTAGTGTGGCCTTCTTGAAGGGGCATTAATCATTATTTATCTGAAAATGACATGTTTCATTTTTGTGGAAACAAATGGTAACAAGCTGGGTCAGGGAAATGCCATGTGCTCAGGGTATACAGACAAACACCAAGTTCAGGTTGATATCAATGAATACAAAAATATGTAAATGATTTATAGAAGCAATTTACTAGCAACCCAGACAAATCTACTCAGCCTTCTCCTACCAAAGTGGGAGAGAGATTTGTCTCTGATTAGCAGTATCTAATATAATCTGACACAGACAAAAACATTTCACTCTGTGCCAGACTTTGGGGCTCATCTGGGTTCTTCTAACTATAAGTTGACTTACCCTTTAATTCTGAGAGTTAAAACCAAGCAGGTCACTCAAGACTCCTCTCTGTATCTGTGCTCCTATGCTCTCCCTGAGTAAAAAATGTTGTAAACCATTTTATTTCTTGCAAAATGAGGGATTCAAAAGCTGGAACCTTTTTGCAACATGAAAGCTGTACTGCCTGTGGTTCTTTGCACACACTGGTGATTTTTGTGCTCTCATTTTAAAAGAATTAAGCCAATTCTATTTTAATGAACTCTTACTTGAGCTTTGGTTTTTTTTTAATTTACTAATAATTATACTTTCTGTTTATTGCCAACTAATATGGTGTTTTCTTTTTCCTTGATTTTAAATTGGTT